AGCTATAGCTGGTCTTTAGGTTTTGAGTCTCTAATGACTCTATGGCTATTTCATTTTCATTATACCAGGAAGGACAACTGAGTAGATTAATCACAACACCTTAGCCCAAGTGATACAATCATCAATACCCTAGCATCAAGTATACTTAGAAAATGACAGTTTGTGAAAGTTAGTAATATATCACCTTTAACTGTGTGAATTAAATATAAATTGAGGACCTACCTAACATATGTTTATAGTGAATAAACTCTTCAATATAGCAACTTTACCCTTCGGGATGGGGAGTTAGAAGGAGTTGTGGAGGGAGGGATAGACAGGTAGAAGGAGAGAGGAAGGTTACCAGTGAGGCCAGAGGACACAGGCAAGAGAAGAAAAAAGAGAATAACAGAAAAATAAAGAAGAAATCTGAATTAGGGCCAGGACAAGAACAAAAAGGGAGATGAAGAACAATGTGGGACAGCAAGAGAGTGAGTATGAGAGAGAAAGGAAAGAAAAAAAAAGAAGATAAAAATAAAAATTTGAAGAGTAGGGAAAAAATTAAAAAGAAGAGGAAAAATAAAAATGAAAATGAAGGGCCTCCAGGGTATGTCTCTGCTGTCACAATAGACAACTTGGGCATCAGTGTGCAGATATAAGTCAGTGAGTCTCAGCAAGCCATTTGCAGAACTGTGAGATTCAGGCAGATTTCTGGCTGCACGTCACATGTTGAGCTCCCTGTCCTCCTGCAGGGTTGCACTCTGCAAGGTTCTATTGCAGGTTCCAGCTGCCCTTCCTCCGAAGATAGTACAGGTTCCGATGGGAGGTGATGATCCTTCCAACTTACCCAGTATGGTGGTCTGGTGTCCCCTGTTTCTTTGTAGTGTGGAACCAGGTAGCAGTATAGCCAAGAGGCCAGAGGAGCGCTGCGGGGGAGGATCCTGCAGGTGGCCGTGCGGCTAAGTGGATTGCCCCCATGGGAATGGCCAGTGACGATGGGTCCACACCTTCTGGCTGGTCCCCGCTGGTGTGCTTGGCGTGGGCTGGATGGGGCGGGGTGCCCTGCGCCCCGGGATGTCTCTCCTGCATCCCGGATGTCTCTCCTGCACCCCAGGACCTCTCTCCTGCACCCTGCAGGGAGTAGGTTAGATTTTAAAGGCAGATCCTAGAATTAAAATTACCCTTGAAGGGCTGGGGATTTAGCTCAGTGGTTCTGCCACCTGCCTCACAAGCGCAAGGTTCTGAGTTAGATTCCCGGTACCAAAAAATAAAACAAAAGAAAAAATTACCCTTGAAAAAGCTATCATGTTACCCAGTATGTATAAAAAGTATGTGTGCCATTTTTTATGTATGTAAACTTTTAAAATTAATGTATAACTTTATTATCATTCACTAAACACACACATACAAAAATTAAAATTATTCAAAGAAAAACAATGCAAGGGAAAAAACTATAATAATATTCAAATATAATAGAACTCAACTAAAGCAAAACTGAAAAGTACTTAAACATTTTTTCCATGTAATTAAAAAAAAACTCCAGCATTAACAAGACATCAGAAGATGTGATTTGTTTTAGAAAGATTTTCAAAACTAATATTGGACAAATAGTGGTCTGGAGAAAAAATTCTAATTAACTAGTAGACTCCACATAGGCCAAATTTTTTTTTAATTTAAATTTCAATACAGTCATGTGACATGTGATGGAAATATAATCTGAGAAATATGTTATTAGGCAATTTCATCCATGTGTATCGCAAAGTACCACACAGAGTACCAACTTCTAAGTGCAAACTGAACGTCAATCATTTGTGATGGCCTCTTGATATTATCCAAATATGCCGTTAAAAGCACACAGTAGGTGAGTATTTAAGTTAAAAATTTAAAAAAATATAGTGTTCTTTAAATGTGAAGGATTTAAAAATATTTTAAGCCTTGGGCTTACCACTCAGGAATTGAGTTTATATCTTATTTTTTTGGATACAGCCTATTCTCACACATTTTTTCACTTAATTCTCCCAACAGTTATATGTGTTGGATAGATACTAACACATCTTCATTTTATGGATTGGGAAATAAAGTTTGAGAGGTTAGGAAATCTGCCTCAACAAATGCAAGTATAAGTAAAAGTATACCTTGACTTGGTAAAACTGTATTACATATTTTATATGTTCTTTGGTTTATTAGTCTGGTTTTCAATTTGTTATGTAATAATTAACTTTATAAGGTCTTATAAGAAAAATAAATGAGTCTGATGCGGGAAAAATAAGAGCGGGGTGGAGGGAGGGAAGAAGAAAATTGAAACGTGTTATGTACAAATCCCCTACAATGAATATAATCATTATGTACTACAAACATGTACTAATAAAATTACAAAATAATAATATATACTTCCAAAGTTGAAACAAAAGAAAATATCTTGCATATGGAAATGCAGGATTTTCTGAGATGTATTCATGGAATTTGTAGATTAAGATTCCAATCACTTACTGTGTCTTTAAGATCATTTTTTATATTTTTTATGGATAATAGAAATTTTGCATGACATGATTTTTGAAGACTCTAAGATAGGACACAATGTAATACATATTATTACATGTATTGATTTGTATTTCCTTTGTGACATTTTATTTACATAAAATTTAATTTAGATAAAAACTACTAAATCACTTTTGCCTTTATAGAAATAATTTCTTTGGTGAATTTTAATTTTGCATTAAATAAAGAATGGTTTTGAAAATCAATTTTATGGTCAGCAAAATTTTATGGTCTAATACTTCAGTCAATCCCTGTGTGTTCTCGTCTAAGATAAGTACAAATTACATTCCAGAAGCAGATAAAATACTGAATTTATGACTAACTGGTTATCTATTTGCTGTTTTATTATTTGTGTCAAATAGTACAATATATTCATTGAATTATTTTGGCCTTCAAGTTATTCTACAGGGGTTCTCTTGATAGTTTTTTATATTAAAGTATATAATAGAAAATATTTATTAATATGTAATATATTAATGTAATGGTTTAAAATATGAAAATAATGATAATTCAAACATGTTTAATATTTAGGTTACCAAAAATAGACTCTGTAGGGATTGCTTTGTTAATAACTTTATTGTGTGAAATGTTTTTCTGTGCTGAGATTTTTATTTGGCATTATGGAGTACTACATACAGTGATTAAAATTATAATTATTTACAATTTGTCAATGATTCTCTGATATTCTTTTTTATTTTACAGAGAGAATAGAAGAGTAATTCTGCATCTCCTGTCTTTTTCTTTACTACCTGCTGCCCCCTGACCTGGGCCTTCTTTTTTCTGTCCTGTCACAAATGTAGACTCACCCAGACCATCATCTGTGGCCAGCTTTTCTCCTGCTGACTGGATCCAGCTGCTCTCACCTATTTCAGGACTTTGCCTTCTTTTCTGCTTATTTATTCTTTCCCTCTCTGCTGGATGATCTCCATAAACATACAGATGTGCGTAATACCTCACATATTTTTAAAAAGGCGGGGAGGAGCAACTTGGATGCTACATCCTCTTTCCTGGTCTCTGTATACTTCTTTGAGAAAAATTTGTTGCCACTTTGTCATTTCCTTGCATTCCTGCTGTAGTTTGTTTTTCATTCACAATACTATGCTGGAACATTTCTTTCAGTGGCTTTTATCTGGCCAGTTCCTTCCTTCACTTGACCACTGGGCCACAGCTCTCTCATGTTTGCCACTACCTCACTGGCCTCTCTTTCTTAGTTGCTTTTGGCATTGTTTTCTTTTTCTTCTTTCAACCTTGAAACAATATGGATTTTTATGGTTTAGTCCCAAGTAATTCATTTTTCTTGTTACATTCACTGCCTAACTGCTCCCTTACAGGGGCATGACTTTAAAAAGCATCTCTATTCTGAGGATGCTCAAATACAAATTGCCTCCTTGCCTTTTTCCCTGAACCCTTGACATGTGTACCCAACATTCACTTCAGTTAGATTTAATGTGAACAGACACAAGTCCTTGATTTCTCTAACCACCAGGTCCTTCTGTATTTCTTGTTTCCACTCAGTAAATGGATGTCTGTATCTGAGCCAAAAACCTTGAAGTCATCCTTGACTTCTCTCTTTTTCTAACACCTGACAGCTGATTCTTCAGAGAATCCTTTGAACTTTCCCTTTACAGCATGTCCAGAAAGTACCCACTTCTAACAACCTTCGCCGGCACCCATTGTTCAACCCACCATTCTTCTCTCCTGGACTATTGCAGCAGCCTCTCTGATTCTATGCTTGCTCCTATGGAGTCTATTTCTTCATAAATCTGTTTCATGTCATTCATCTCCAAACCTTTTCCTGGCCTCAACCTGATTCAGAAGACAATGTTGTTGCTCATTCTGGCTCCCTGCTGTCTGCCTGCCTTCTCTTACCACTCTCCCTTGTTGACATATGTGGCTGCGGTTCCAGATATTCCAGCTATATGACCTTTTGTTCTTTCTCATACTTGCCAAACACTACTTTGTGCTAGAGCCTTTGCATTTACTTCCTGTCAGCCCTGGATATACCTCTCCCATAGATCACATGGCACCATCCCTCATTTCCTTCAAACCTCCACTCAAATCATTTTATCAGTGTGCCTGTCAGTCAAGGGTGCTTTACATAAGATAGCACCAACATCCGTGCCAGTCTCTCCTCCTCATTCTTTCTCTCCCTCTTGTCCTGGTTTATTTTACTTCATAATACTTTCCCTCATCCCCACCAGACTGAAAACTCTGAGATAGGGACCTGAACAGTTTGTCAGCTTTACCATGTCTAGACCAGTGCTTGGAACACAGGAGGTGTCCAGTTATATTTTTATGCACTATGATGGTATTCATTAAATTTATTTTAACAATATACAATAAGTATTGCCATTTTAATTTATAAATGTAATATGACAGCTAATTACTATGAAATTCTCTGAGACATAGCTTTTTAAATTCTACATTAATTAAGCCAGTTTATAGAGAGAAATGACATAAAGACTTTTGTTTTATTTTTATCATAGGTATGAATTGATACAGAAGGGAGTAACTGAACTTAGACCTGCTCAGAGTGTCCCGGATGTCTACACTCAGATTATGCTTTTAGAGAACGAGAACAAAAATTTGAAGAAAGACTTGAAACACTTTAAACAGGCAGCTGAGTATGTTATTTTTAAATGATCTGTTTTTCTTTACATTTTAGACTAAGTAAAAATGAAGAGTTGAATGTAGCTGTATTTAGAAATTTAATTCCGGAGAGCAGAATTATGTTTGAAGTCTTGGTTATAAAGAATCTGAAATGTTTCACTAGCAAATTAATTGAACAAATAACCAAACTCTCACAGTTTATTGAATCACCATTTTTATTTTGTAGAAGATAGTTAAATCCTATCATGGTTTTTGAAATTTTGTCTTGTGAAAATAAGCTAATATCTGAAATAATAATGAAGTTATAGAGAGCATGGCAGAAGGAGCCAGTCTATTTTTAGGAGAAACATTTCAGTATTTGTAAATTCCCTAGAAGGAATAATGTAATATACTAAGTTTGGGTGGTACTATGCATAGATGCATCAGTTGTAGCAAATTTGGTGGGAGGTGTTGACGATGGCAAAGGCTTTGCCTGTGTGAGGGCAGGATTCATGTGGAACATTTCAGGACCCTCTGATTAATTTTTCTGTGAATCAGAAACTACTCTAAAAATATAAAGCAGAAAATATAAACTACCCATATTCTCATCACTCAGGGCCAAACAAAATTACAGCACTTTTTTTTTTTTGTACTGGGGATTGAACTCGGGACCTTGTGCTTGTTAGGCAGGAAGCAAAACCACTGAGCTAAATCCCTGGCCAGCCAATATTAAAATTTTGTTGAATATCTTTTTGTATTTTTCTCAATGCATTGTATATATATTTTAAGTGAAAAATATAATAACACTTTATGTCATATTTTGTAGTTTACTTTTCCCTTCAGTAACATATGGTAAACATTTTTATAAATACAAACTTTGTCCTAAAAACATTAAAAAATTTCTTAAAGAAAACCTTTGTTTTATAATTTTCTGTATGCCTTTATATGCAGAGCATAATCGTAACAGTTAGATGCAAATCTTTCCATATCCTTTATAATTAATGAAAGTCATGGACTTTTTGATGAATAATATTTTTGTTGAACAAATAGCCATGTTATTTTTTCACATAAATATGTGAACGTGTTGACTTGGGGAGAATCTACTCATGTGAAACAATATAATATGGAAAACCAATTATTTTATGTGAAGGATAGTTAATGCTTATTCATTTATTTAAAAAATTTACAGAAGGTATTTAAGAATCATATTAACACAAAAATTAGACTGCGAAAACTATCATATAGGAACATAGTATTTTTTTTTTTTTTGGTACCGGGGATTGAACTCGGGTCCTTGCGCTTGCGCAGCAGGCAGCGAAAGCGCTGAGCTAAATCCCCGGCCCAGGAACATAGTATTTTTAATTTATGTGAAGAATATTTAGTGTAATGAAATGTGACTTTGCATTGTAAAGTGAAGGAAACATTAAGAATAAATTTCTGGGCTGGGCATGTGGCTCTGTCTTTACCTAGCATATGAAAGAACCTGAGGTTGATCTCCCGCACCACACACACACATACAAAATTCACGCTATTTACAGTGGTACCTTAGTTCATGAACTTAATTCATGCCACAATTCTGAAAAAGATGGCTGCCACATTCGTGTTCATGTGGGAAACATGGCCACTGTCATGTTCATCACCCAGTGCAGAGTTTGCAAATAAAAGCAAAATTTTGCCAAATGCTTTGGTTTGCAAACTACGTTGTTGGCAAACAAAGGTGTTTGTGAACCAAGATACCACTATATTTGTTTATTCATTTATAATGCTGGGTATGAAACCCACTCAGTTACCCTTACCCTATAATACAGAGTATGGCTAAGTTACTAAGTTGCTCAGGTTAGGCTCAGACTTGTGCTCCTCTTGCCTCAGCCTTCTGAAGTGCTGGGATGATAGGCATATGCCACCATACCCAGCTAAAAGTTTCTACTTTGTAAAGCTGCCAGTAACTAAAGGAACATTTGTGTTATCACTTATTTACTTGTGTGTGTTTATAAGAATGTTTTTGCAAGGTATACGTATTTTATATAGTCTATGAATATAGTATTTGGAAATTTACATTTTACATAGGTATGTATAATGTTCCACAAGCATATGTTATTAGAATTTTTCTCTTTATTCTTGTTTCTATTTCTTTTTTAAAATTATTTTAATTTTAATTTTAAAGTTTTTATTTTATTAGTACGTGTTTGTAGTGCATGAAGTTTACACTCATCTTGGGGAATGCTTACAGGTACATACTACAGCTTCTTTTTTTTTTAAATTCCTTTCCCCTTCCCTCCTCCTCTAATTCTCCATTCCCATTTTTCATTGTTATCATTAATCTTAGCTCATGTCATGGTATATAATGTTTACATTAATTGAAATTACTAGGTTCCTATACATGGCATATCCTTATTCTATTTATTTCCTCTTCCCCTCCACCTCACTCCTCCCACTTTTTCTCTTTCCCTATTGCAGGAGATCCACCTCCTTGTCCTTTCTATCCATCCTTTATTATTCTTTTTATTTGTACTTTGCCTCACTGAAATGAGAGATACCACACGGTATTTAAAAATGTGTGTCTAGCTTATTTTACTGAGCATTATATTTTCCAGGTGCATCCATTTTCATACAATGTCTCAAATCTGTTGTTCTTGATAGTAGTGTAGTATTCCATGATATACAGATACCACATTTTCTTTATCCAGTCATCTCTTGATGGGTATACAGGCTGTCTCCAGGATTTAGCTATTCCGAATTGTGCTGCTAATAACAATGGTATGCATGTGTTGCTATAGTATGATGGTTTAAAGTGTCTGGGGAAGATACCTAGCAAGGAGATCACTGAGTCATATAGAATTTCATTGAGAAATCTCCATACTGATTTCCATAATGGTTGTAGTAGTTTATATTCCCACCAACAGTGAAGGAGGATTCCTTTTACATCACAGCCTTGCTGGCATTTATTATTGTTTGATTTCTTAATGACTGACATTCTTTCTGGAGTAAGATGGAATCTTAGCATTGTTTTAATTTATATTTCTTTAATGGCCAGAGATGTTGAGCATTTTTTCATATATTGTTGACCATTTGTATTTCTTCCTCTGTGAAGTGTCTGTTCATTTCTCTTGTGCATTTCTTGACTGGCTCTTTAAGGTGGTTAAATTTTTTTTTTTTTTGGTACTAGGGATCGAACTCAGGACCTCGCACTTGCTGGCCAGGCACTGTGCTGCTGAGCTATATCCCTGGCCCGGTGGTTAAATTCTTTTGAGTTTTTTGTATATTCTAGATATTAGTCCTTTGTTTAGGGAATAGCTGGCCAAATTTTTTCCCCTTCTCTAGGTTGTCTCTTCACTCTACAGATTGGTTCTTTTGCTGTACAGAAGTTTTTAGTCTGACATAATCCCATTTGTTCATTCTTGCTGTTATTTCTTGTGCAATTGAGTTTCTGTTTAGAAAATCCTTTCCTACACCTATGTCAAGTGTTTTACCTATTTTATTTTCTAGTTGGTTTAATGTTTCTGTTTTAATGTTTAGATCTTTGATCCATTTTGATTTTAATTTAGTATATCCTGAGAGATAAAGGTCCAGTTATTTTTTCCATTTAGTTTATTGGTACATTTTAGGTATACAATAGTTACATTCATCATTGGGATCTTGTACCTTTACATGATGTATCTTGGTTCTTATTTTTTCCGCATTCCCCTGCCCTCCCTTCACTCCCTCCATCCTTCCCTATTTACAAAGACTTTGTTTCCATGTTTTTCCTTTTCTCATATTTTTTCTTTTCCTTTCTTTCCTTTCCCCTACCCCTCCCACTTCCCCTACTTCTTTAGACATTTTCTTCCTATTTCACAATATCAATTATACATTTTGATTCTTATTTACACTTTTAGTTTTTCACACCAGAGAAACCAGTATTTACACGTGTGTCCTATTTATTTCACTAAAGAGTATAGCCTCAATGTGCATCCACTTAGCTACAAATGTCTCCAGTTTCTCATTCTTTATGGCTGAGTTGTACTCCATTTTATAAAAAAACCCCACATCTTCTTTATCCAGTCTCCAGTCGATGGGCAATTGGGCTGTTTCCAAGTTTTAGCTATTGCAAACTGTGCTGTTATAAACATGAGTGTGCATATATCACCGTGGTATGATTCTTTTAATTCTTTGGGGAAGATACCTAGTAGAGGATGGGTCTAGTTTTAATCTTCGGCACACAGATAGTCAGTTTTCCCAGCACCATTTGTTGAATAGACTGTCTTTTCTTTAGAATATGTTTTTGGCCCCTTTGTCAAAGACCAAATAGCTGATTGTGTTTGTGTAAGTTTCAGTATCCTGAATTCTGTTCCATTGATCCATGTATCTGTTTTTGTTCCAGTATTGGGCTGTTTTTATCGCTATTGTTTTATAGTATAGCATGAAGACAAGTGTTGCTATGCCTCCTGCTTTGCTCTTGTTGCCCAAAATTGCTTTTTCTATTCTAGGTTTCTTCTAGTTCCATATGAATTTTAGGATTGCCTTTTCTAGATCTGTAAAGTGTGCTGTTGGTGTTTTGATTGGGATTGCACTGAATCTGTGTAACAGTTTTGAGAGTATGGCCATTTTAACAATATTGATACTGCCTATCCAGGAGCAGGGAACATCCTTCCATTTTCTGATATCCTCTTCATTCTCCTTTTTCAGAGTACGTACTTTTCTTTGTAGAGGTCTTTCACTTCCTTGGTTAGGTTAATTCCTAAGTATTTCAATTTTCTTGAAGCTACTATGAATAATATTATTTTCATAGTTTCCTTCTTATCCTGTTTATTGTTGGTGCACACAATGCTACTGATTTTTGTGTGTTGATTTTGTATCCTGCTACATTGCTGAAGTTTGTTATTAATTCTAAGAGGTTTTGTTTGTTAGAGTTCTTTGGGTCTTCTAGGTAGAGTATCATGTCATACATCTATGTAGAGCATCAACAGTTATCTAAGATTAATAATTTGAGTTCTTCCTTTCCTATATCTATCCATTTTATTTCTTTTTCTTGCCCAATTGCTCTGGCTAATGTTTT